CAATTAGCACATTTTTGTGTTAATTGCCTATTTATAAACGTACACTTAATTAAAAATGCGCAATGTTATAAAACTACATAATATTTTTAACATTTCATGATATATATATTTAGCGCAAAAATCATGCGGAGAGCTATGATTTGAATTTGTTCATAAATGAAATGAAAAGTTAATCTTTTTTGCTCCGTGGGGAAATCAATATTTATATACGTGAAATTAATACAATGCACTTGATGTACATAAATACGTTTAACATAGCAAACATGATGTGTGAAAATATTGTTCAACGTGGCAAATCGTTAATTTTTTTTATGATCCATTTTGCATGTTTCACGTTATCGAAAAACTGATTCACTGAAATTTTTAAAAGGATTCCGGGTTAATTTAAACAGTTTTGAAAAATGAGATCGGCTATTGTTCATCGCTCGGACTACCCCAATCTCTCTCGTGCCTCTCTTCGCGGATTCATAACGCGTTCCTCTCTTTGCAATAATATCCAATATATTACCGATGTTCAACATGCGAGTCGTGCCAGTAGATGGCGAAATGATTGCTTTACGAGTAGTTCCATCGTTCGTTGAAACCTTTTGAGATATGGGCAATACATTTTTTCGCAATAAGAGATCCGTAACGCAAAACGACACAAAGAATATTTGTCAGCATATTTGCGAAAATATGCAAGTATAAAGGATTCAACTTTAATGAGAAGATTATCATCAATTTGACAAACCGGAAACGTTTTACTAAATATTTTCTCCTATGCGCCAATATCCTTGTATTAGCATAAAATACAATTTAGTAAAAGAAATTACACATATGTAGACATGATAAAAAGGAAAAGAAGTTGAAATTATTAAGATTTAATAGTCTGAAAGCAAACTCTTTAGATATAAATGTATTACATAATTGTATTTATTTTTTTTCATAGTGTATTTACTTTGTTATACATTCTTAATATATATTTTGAAATTAATAAAGTTTAACAAAAATAAAAAAATATGTTTTAAATAACTTTTGTATCAAATAGAAGAAATATTTACTGTTTAGCACCAATACAAAATTCATTTAAAAATTCTAACAGTGGATTTTAATCTACTTTTATCTGAAGTACATTAATATTTTAAAGATATTTTTCAATTCAAATCCGTTTTCAGTAATTCAAGTATGTCAAATACTTTCATAAACAAAACTAAAGATTAAACATTATAACAATAAGTGAACCACTGAATCATTAATTGATCAATGATATACGTAATAAATTATAAAAGTAGATAAATAGATAGATAAATAGATAGATAGCTAGATAGAGGCTGAAAGTGCGCGCGCGCGCGCGCGAGAGAGAGAGAGAGAGAGAGAGAGAGAGAGAGAGAGAGAGAGAGAGAGACTCTTATTTTAATTTTATCATCAAATCTGTCAAAATGCAATTTAATAAGACAATTTGAAAGAATGCAAGAGAGAAAGACGCATCGCTTCTTTAGTTTTATTTTCAAATCTGTCAAAACGCAATTTAACAAGACAAAATTTATGAAGATACGTCACTCCGCTTTGTTAATAATTTTATCACTCTATATATAACAGCTGCTTCAAACTCGCTGTCAATATGAAGCTTTTTCATTCAATATTGTTCGTTCCGTAAAGTATGTATCGACGCGTTTCGAGAGTGAATTATGGAAAATAAAACAGGACAAGAAATGCCTAGTCAATATCAGCCGTTACGGACATACGTGTATGTATATGTATATATACACATACATATAGTATGTATTTATTTATTTCATGTACACGTCAAATTTAAAAGCAGTTTACGATAAAAATAAAAAGAAATTATGTTATTCTTCTCTAACATTATTGAACAATTCCATATAAAATTTAATTATTGATTAAAAATTTTAAAGCAGTTTTATAAATGACTTATAACTTCTATAAAATAAAATATTTTTTATTACAAAATTTAAACAAATTATACAAAAATATTGTGTAACATAAAAAATTAAACATTTCCGATATTTTTTACTTATATTGTGTGTGATAATCTATATTTTGTGTTAATTCCAATATATTTTCTTAAATGCATTCAACTTGATAAAGAAACGACATTTGAAGAATCAAGTGACATCGCGCTAAATATTTCGCGCTAAAAATTTACTTACAATATATTTAGCATCTATTATATTTGAATGTATGTTTATAAGTTTACAAATTTATAAATATATTACGCATCAAAATTATAAAACAAATTCTAATAACATTTTGTTCTGAAATCTAAGTGCAATACATTTGTTAATATTTTCTTATATAATTAATTATGTCACGTCATTAATAAAATGTGGACACGTGTAAAACTTATATTTTTTTAAATACGCAAATCTATATTATAATCATACATATACATGTATATTTCAGTTATAAATAATAAATTTTGTAAAAAAAAAAAATAAATCGATCCTGCCAGGATTCGAACCTGGAATCTTCTGATCCGTAGTCAGACGCGTTATCCGTTGCGCCACAGGACCATCGAAGTTTGATATTGAATGTGCACAGCTTTCTCGATTATCTAAATATTTGTACTTCAAATAATAGAAACATTTATAAAATTAAATTAGATATGTTGTGCGTTTCTTTTTTTACTTATATGGAAAATAATTTTCTTCAAATATTCTATAAAATATTTAATAAATTCAGAAGCTGATATCGCTGAAAAAATAATATTTAGTTATATTATATCTTAATATAATATTGTATTATCTGTATAAGCAAACGAGCAATATAATTAAAGAATTTTATTTAAAAATGAATTAGATAATTTGCAGTAATATTGTACACATCTTAAACTTGTTTATAAGATGCTCCCTCAACGAATCCGGTATGGTCTAGTGGCTAGGATACCTGGCTTTCACCCAGGAGGCTCGGGTTCGATTCCCGGTACCGGAATATTTTTTTTTTATTTTTTATAAAATAAAATGTTTAATCAAATATAGATAATATTGATATCTGTAAATATAACAAAAACTATTTTGCAATTAATATATTATTCAACATAATGTGCGTATAAGATTCTGTGCACGATCAATAAATACTATCACGGTCGCGAAACGGAAGAAAAGTAAATAAGACGCGATTATTGCTTTTCTCAACGAAAAAACTTTTTCCTATTACAAAAGCCACGTCTACTATTCTCCAAGTCTGTCCCAAAACGGTCCCATTAACGCCTTGCCAAACAAGCCGCGTCGAACTGGAAAAAGTTACTCAATTAGAGTTCTGGGTCGTTCAGAAACTTGCTCCATACTCAGCCGAAACTCAAATTCTTCCTTCTCCTCATGCACTGCTTTTTGCGCAACCACAAGCACGTACTTCTTCCGAAGTCCAGAGCACCGTGACCACCGTTGGTCAAACTTTTTTCGGCTTTAGAAGTCGTGCACGTAGCCGCGATACAATCAGAAAAAAATATACAGATGCGGAAAAAAATATAAAAAAATTCCAAAGATACAATTACACTTTTCTTTCTACCAAGCAATGGAGGTATATTTAATTAGCATATTATGTTTAAATTCAATTTTAAATTTTCTGACACATTAAAATATTAGTATAGTAATTAAAGGGTAAACACCATCCTTGGGACTCTAAAATAATACCTAAGTTTAGGAATTTAATGTAGGTAAATAAATAACTTTATTTAAAAATTACTTACAAGACTTTATTGTGCATATATTAAAGAGCAAAAAAAAATAATTTTTTAATTTTTTGTGTGCACAAAATGGCGGCGCATTGGCCTTCTTGTAAAATCGCTCTTTTTTTAAAACATGAACATTTGCATGCAAGATTTCTGTGAGATGGTTCATCCTGAAGTAAATCAATAAAAATGTCCAATACCTACATATAATAATAAGCTTTTGATATAAGATTTTTGAAAATATTAATTTTTTTCATAATGGCAGCTGTTTATAGAAAAAGTACATTTTTCGCCTTAAAATTTGTTTTAAAAAATGCTAATTACAAAAAGAGTTTTCAACATTTCACAAAAAGGTTACATACTTCAAAGCAAAATATATACAAGAAGAATGTAAAATTTTACGTCAATTCGATGAAAATTGTAAGACTAACGGTCTACGCAAATTGAAAAAATTGTATTTTGAAAAAAACGCACGTAAAGTTTTTGTAACTGAATTCTTGTGTATAAAGTTGAAAGTTTAATCAGATCTAACACTATGATACAGTTCTATTCTTCTAAAAATATTTGCATCATATTTCTGTAACTATAAATTAATGATTTAAGTAAAAAATTTTTTTTCAAACCTCAAGGGTGGCGTTACCCCTTAAGGACTTGCAACTCTATTTTATAATTTTAAAATAACAATTTTTGGTAAAAAAGAAATTTAGCCCATGAGGGGATCGAACCCTCGTCCTTCGCATTATATATCAGTGCGATGCTCCAACTAACTAACCTAATGGGCTAACTTGTCAAATGAGTTACTTTATAGATTCTTAACTATTCTCTTCGATTCTTATGTACTTCTGGCGTATAAGGTAAGCTTCCATTACAATGCCTTATTGATGAGTCCAGTGCAAGCCGGGACGAAACGCCAAAAACTATGTGATATTTTTCGCAATATAAAGAATAAATTAAGACCTAATTATTTACGGAAATTTAATTTATCATTATCATAGTTAATTGTAATTTATCAAGTAAGAATTGGTGATATTACTACTGTAGTATTTATGCGTTATGCCTGAAAGTTATCAGCGCGCAATTATGAGCGGACTACATATGTAGTATATAAAAATCACGCATAATTATAATTAGCACTTTGATCCAGCTTTGACCGTTATAAGCTGTACTTCTTTATTTGTTTGACAATATACGGTCGTACTAAATCATTTAATATTAAACAAGTTATTTATATTAAAAAATCTATATAAACATATATAAAATGTATGTATACAAGTAGATAAGAATCTAAGAGGATAGTTAAGAACCTATAAAATAACATAATAGACAAGTTAGCCCATTAGCTCAGTTGGTTGGAGCATCGCACTGATATGAAATGCGAAGGACGAGGGTTCGATCCCCTCATGGGCTAAATTCCTTTTTTACCGAAAACTGTTACATTAGAACTATAAAATAGATTCCTTAATTATTAATATTTTGATACGTCAAAAAATTTAAATCTTATTTGATTTAGTTATTTGAATAAGATTTAAATTTTTTGACGTATCAAAATATTAATAATTAAGGAATCCATTTTATAATTCTAATATAACAATTTTCGGTAAAAAAGGAATTTAGCCCATGAGGGGATCGAACCCTCGTCCTTCGCATTTCATATCAGTGCGATGCTCCAACCAACTGAGCTAATGGGCTAACTTGTCAAATGAGTTACTTTATAGATTCTTAACTATTCTCTTCGATTCTTATGTACTTCTGGCGTATAAGGTAGGCTTCCATTACAATGCCTTATTGATGAGTCCAGTGGAAGCCGGGACGAAACGCCAAAAACTATGTGACATTTTTCGCAATATAAAGAATAAATTAAGATCTAATTATTTACGGAAATTTAATTTATCATTATCATAGTTAATTGTAATTAATCAAGTAAAAATTGGTGATATTACTACTGTAGTATTTATGCGTTATGCCTGAAAGTTATCAGCGCGCAATTATGAGCGGACTACATATGTAGTATATAAAAATCACGCATAATTATAATTAGCACTTTGATCCAGCTTTGACCGTTATAAGCTGTACTTCTTTATTTGTTTGACAATATACGGTCGTACTAAATCATTTAATATTAAACAAGTTATTTATATTAAAAAATCTATATAAACATATATAAAATGTATGTATACAAGTAGATAAGAATCTAAGAGGATAGTTAAGAACCTATAAAATAACATAATAGACAAGTTAGCCCATTAGCTCAGTTGGTTGGAGCATCGCACTGATATGAAATGCGAAGGACGAGGGTTCGATCCCCTCATGGGCTAAATTCCTTTTTTACCGAAAACTGTTACATTAGAACTATAAAATAGATTCCTTAATTATTAATATTTTGATACGTCAAAAAATTTAAATCTTATTTGATTTAGTTATTTGAATAAGATTTAAATTTTTTGACGTATCAAAATATTAATAATTAAGGAATCCATTTTATAATTCTAATATAACAATTTTCGGTAAAAAAGGAATTTAGCCCATGAGGGGATCGAACCCTCGTCCTTCGCATTTCATATCAGTGCGATGCTCCAACCAACTGAGCTAATGGGCTAACTTGTCAAATGAGTTACTTTATAGATTCTTAACTATTCTCTTCGATTCTTATGTACTTCTGGCGTATAAGGTAGGCTTCCATTACAATGCCTTATTGATGAGTCCAGTGGAAGCCGGGACGAAACGCCAAAAACTATGTGACATTTTTCGCAATATAAAGAATAAATTAAGATCTAATTATTTACGGAAATTTAATTTATCATTATCATAGTTAATTGTAATTAATCAAGTAAAAATTGGTGATATTACTACTGTAGTATTTATGCGTTATGCCTGAAAGTTATCAGCGCGCAATTATGAGCGGACTACATATGTAGTATATAAAAATCACGCATAATTATAATTAGCACTTTGATCCAGCTTTGACCGTTATAAGCTGTACTTCTTTATTTGTTTGACAATATACGGTCGTACTAAATCATTTAATATTAAACAAGTTATTTATATTAAAAAATCTATATAAACATATATAAAATGTATGTATACAAGTAGATAAGAATCTAAGAGGATAGTTAAGAACCTATAAAATAACATAATAGACAAGTTAGCCCATTAGCTCAGTTGGTTGGAGCATCGCACTGATATGAAATGCGAAGGACGAGGGTTCGATCCCCTCATGGGCTAAATTCCTTTTTTACCGAAAACTGTTACATTAGAACTATAAAATAGATTCCTTAATTATTAATATTTTGATACGTCAAAAAATTTAAATCTTATTTGATTTAGTTATTTGAATAAGATTTAAATTTTTTGACGTATCAAAATATTAATAATTAAGGAATCCATTTTATAATTCTAATATAACAATTTTCGGTAAAAAAGGAATTTAGCCCATGAGGGGATCGAACCCTCGTCCTTCGCATTTCATATCAGTGCGATGCTCCAACCAACTGAGCTAATGGGCTAACTTGTCAAATGAGTTACTTTATAGATTCTTAACTATTCTCTTCGATTCTTATGTACTTCTGGCGTATAAGGTAGGCTTCCATTACAATGCCTTATTGATGAGTCCAGTGGAAGCCGGGACGAAACGCCAAAAACTATGTGACATTTTTCGCAATATAAAGAATAAATTAAGATCTAATTATTTACGGAAATTTAATTTATCATTATCATAGTTAATTGTAATTAATCAAGTAAAAATTGGTGATATTACTACTGTAGTATTTATGCGTTATGCCTGAAAGTTATCAGCGCGCAATTATGAGCGGACTACATATGTAGTATATAAAAATCACGCATAATTATAATTAGCACTTTGATCCAGCTTTGACCGTTATAAGCTGTACTTCTTTATTTGTTTGACAATATACGGTCGTACTAAATCATTTAATATTAAACAAGTTATTTATATTAAAAAATCTATATAAACATATATAAAATGTATGTATACAAGTAGATAAGAATCTAAGAGGATAGTTAAGAACCTATAAAATAACATAATAGACAAGTTAGCCCATTAGCTCAGTTGGTTGGAGCATCGCACTGATATGAAATGCGAAGGACGAGGGTTCGATCCCCTCATGGGCTAAATTCCTTTTTTACCGAAAACTGTTACATTAGAACTATAAAATAGATTCCTTAATTATTAATATTTTGATACGTCAAAAAATTTAAATCTTATTTGATTTAGTTATTTGAATAAGATTTAAATTTTTTGACGTATCAAAATATTAATAATTAAGGAATCCATTTTATAATTCTAATATAACAATTTTCGGTAAAAAAGGAATTTAGCCCATGAGGGGATCGAACCCTCGTCCTTCGCATTTCATATCAGTGCGATGCTCCAACCAACTGAGCTAATGGGCTAACTTGTCAAATGAGTTACTTTATAGATTCTTAACTATTCTCTTCGATTCTTATGTACTTCTGGCGTATAAGGTAGGCTTCCATTACAATGCCTTATTGATGAGTCCAGTGGAAGCCGGGACGAAACGCCAAAAACTATGTGACATTTTTCGCAATATAAAGAATAAATTAAGATCTAATTATTTACGGAAATTTAATTTATCATTATCATAGTTAATTGTAATTAATCAAGTAAAAATTGGTGATATTACTACTGTAGTATTTATGCGTTATGCCTGAAAGTTATCAGCGCGCAATTATGAGCGGACTACATATGTAGTATATAAAAATCACGCATAATTATAATTAGCACTTTGATCCAGCTTTGACCGTTATAAGCTGTACTTCTTTATTTGTTTGACAATATACGGTCGTACTAAATCATTTAATATTAAACAAGTTATTTATATTAAAAAATCTATATAAACATATATAAAATGTATGTATACAAGTAGATAAGAATCTAAGAGGATAGTTAAGAACCTATAAAATAACATAATAGACAAGTTAGCCCATTAGCTCAGTTGGTTGGAGCATCGCACTGATATGAAATGCGAAGGACGAGGGTTCGATCCCCTCATGGGCTAAATTCCTTTTTTACCGAAAACTGTTACATTAGAACTATAAAATAGATTCCTTAATTATTAATATTTTGATACGTCAAAAAATTTAAATCTTATTTGATTTAGTTATTTGAATAAGATTTAAATTTTTTGACGTATCAAAATATTAATAATTAAGGAATCCATTTTATAATTCTAATATAACAATTTTCGGTAAAAAAGGAATTTAGCCCATGAGGGGATCGAACCCTCGTCCTTCGCATTTCATATCAGTGCGATGCTCCAACCAACTGAGCTAATGGGCTAACTTGTCAAATGAGTTACTTTATAGATTCTTAACTATTCTCTTCGATTCTTATGTACTTCTGGCGTATAAGGTAGGCTTCCATTACAATGCCTTATTGATGAGTCCAGTGGAAGCCGGGACGAAACGCCAAAAACTATGTGACATTTTTCGCAATATAAAGAATAAATTAAGATCTAATTATTTACGGAAATTTAATTTATCATTATCATAGTTAATTGTAATTAATCAAGTAAAAATTGGTGATATTACTACTGTAGTATTTATGCGTTATGCCTGAAAGTTATCAGAGCGCAATTATGAGCGGACTACATATGTAGTATATAAAAATCACGCATAATTATAATTAGCACTTTGATCCAGCTTTGACAGTTATAAGCTGTACTTCTTTCTTTGTTTGTTTGACAATATACGGTCGTACTAAATCACTTAATATTAAAGTTATTTATATTAAAAAATCTATATAAAACATATATAAAATGTATGTATACAAGTAGATAAGAATCTAAGAGGATAGTTAAGAACTTATAAAATAACATAATAGACAAGTTAGCCCATTAGCTCAGTTGGTTGGAGCATCGCACTGATATGAAATGCGAAGGACGAGGGTTCGATCCCCTCATGGGCTAAATT